GTTTTTATGAGAGTATAACATTATAACATGATATAAAGCTAAAAAAGTTGATTTTACATCATATTGCCCCTTTAAAACTGCGACTCTCAGCTGCCTCCACACCAGGTTAGAGCCGTAAAATGAACAAAGTTAGACTTGTTGTTTTCTGGGATCAGTGGGTTTCTAGAACCACRCTGTCAGGAGAAATAATCGAACTGTTTAAAAAAACACAAATTATGTTTCAAACTAAAATATTTTGTTATCCTTTTGTAGTGCATGAAGAGAAACAGAAAAAAAAAGAAACAGATCAAAAAATGCACATTGACACAACCTGACTACTGATGCACATTTAAAGCTGCAGGTTCAAAAAAATATATTTAGTTTTTAATCTTCACAGATTAAATAGATTMTTCAAAGAATTCAAACATTCTTTGTTTCTAAAAAGGGTTTTCTTTGTTGAAAAATATGATATAAAACAAAAGCTTGTTTGTTCAGTTCTTTTGATTCTGTCACTCTACAGATAATTAGTTTTTTACAAACTGGTGAAACAATTAGTAAAAGTTATTTAAATTTACCATCAACTGGGCATTTAATCTGTATTTCTCTGCAACACCTGACTGCTTTTAATACCCCCCAGTCTCTGCTTGTTGTCATATTTATTAGGATTTGTGTGACAGAAAAATCGGAAACGCTAATATTCTGAATCCCAAGTAACACAGATGCAGTTTATTGCTTATATTCTAATTTTCTCTGCAGCAAGATTATTATTTACTTTGACATTGTGCAAATGAGGTTTTGTGCGTTTGAGAATGGACGGAGAACGTCGGGATAATTACACGGCTTGTCAACGACACCAGCAGAGTTATTCAAAGCAGACTCTGAAAACTCTTCTGTCGCTCCTCGTCTGGTAAAAGTGTTTCAAACAGGTCCGTTTGAGGCTGAGAAGCATCTGTACGACTTTTTCACTCAGGGATTTTTTTTACCTTTTAAACATGTCTGCTGAGCAMAGTCAACCCAATTCATCACATGCTCATTGACCGGGCTGCAGACCCGAATCAATCCTCGCAGCTAAATGTGTTTTCCAAACAGGCCTTTATGTGACAGAAAAGCTTGGAGGATAAGTGAAACAAAATTCTTACTTTTACAGATGTTTTGGGTGTTTCAGTGGGTAAAGGAAAGCGGCGTGTCAAATATCTCCTTACCTGAGTCACTCCTCTGGAGCTCAGCTCGCCCCTGCAGCAATTTAGACAAAGAAATAGAGCCGTTCTGCARAAATCCTTCAATCCTGTTTGACCTCTCCCAACTCTTTCAAGTGAACTCTAAGGTACTCAACCTAAACCTCCCCTTCACTCCGAGCACTTCCACATTTTAACGTCACAGACCAAAGATTTGAGGAGGGATAGGGAGAGAGAGAGGAAAATAAATCAATCATACCAATTCCTCTTAAAGTTCAAACTGCTGCTGGTTATCTGCCCATCGATCTGCGGCTCCCTYCTCCTTCCTTCCATTGCATGTGGGAAGGTTGTGCTGCTCACAGCCAGGCYGCTAGATTTCCTCTGAAAATCTGTTTCCCCCTCTTCTGAGCACAGAACACTTTAAAAAGATCAGTAAGAAAATCATCTTTGTCGTGCAGCATGGATGCTCACATGGCTTGTCCTCGGCAGCCAGTCGGGACTGGAAGGCTTTTCTTTAATGAATTTCATGTCAGTATTGATCAGGAGCTAAATTGGGTTATGAAGCTGCAGAATCATCGTGTCTGTTGAGTCTCAGATCTTTGTCTTTTGTTGCCTCAAGGCTAATGACACGTCTCCGCTAACCGCCACCCTCCCAGCTTGGAGACAGACCATCAGGAAGGATTTTTTTTCCCTCAAACAGCAGATGAGACTTGTTTAGGCAGCTTACAGATCTCTCTTGACAAAGAATAATGAGACTATTGATTGTCTTTAGACATATTTACTTTGGTCTACTTTGAAACCACCAAGTGCCCTGACACCTGGGGAGAACTGCATCCTTTGAATTTGAACTGAGACCACTATACCTGATCAAAGAAGAAAACATTGTGGGTAACCACTGAGTGCAGCATCATAATGAGATCCTGCACAGAAAGAGGAGGCTGAGGTGATTGCAGACCTCCACCCACTGCTTCCTCTGATTGAAGATAATATGAAACTTTCACAAGAGGCCAGGATATGGTTTATTCAGCAGCTGAGCTCCATAACAGGAAATCTTCTGGACATCAGCTCAGTTACAGGAAATATTCTGGACATCAGCTCAGTTACAGGAAGTTTTACATTAATACATAACAATTGAAAGTCAAAGTACATAAAAGTTAATTTTTAAAACTTTTTTTCAGAATTAACCCAATAAATGACTGAATCCTAAGTTTTTATTTGTAGTTTTAATAAACAGATGAATGATTGTACCTGTTTCCACAGATGAACCTTGGCAGATTYTGTGTTTCTGTCAAACGTCTCTGTGGTCCCAGAGCTCCTGGAGCTCACGAAGACCTGTTGTTCCTAATAAATACTGAATCAAACTTTTAGATTTAACGGCTGGATCCAGCTACTCCTGGGACATCCCAAGGTGTTCCCAGGAAACAAAAAATTTCTGTAATGTCTCCAGCTGGTTCTKGCTCTGCCCTGGAGTTATGTCACAGTGGGACATGTCCAAAACCTGTCCTCATCAGATGCCTGCAGCGGRACCACCCTGCAGAGGAAGCTTACTTCAGGGACCTCCAGCTTTCAKTCCTGATCCAAACTGACTTGACTGTAGCTGCAGCTTTCAGCTCAGCTCCTCCACCATGAGCTGCAGTTATCCTCTCACTGCTGCAGATCAGACCTCTGTCAGCTGATCGCTTCATGTTTCCATCACTCTGGAACAAGGTGATACTTCTGGAGTAAAAACACATCCAAAATAAAAAAGCAARRCAAAGAGGACATKTTYTGTGACTTATWTAAATAAACTGAACTGAATGGAATGAAATAGTAAYATCTAATGGGACAATAAAAGCAGGAAACAAGTGAAATGCTCCAGAGTTGGTTATAGCTACAGAAAGGTACGATTCAGCYGAATCAATGTTTTTATAATAGAAATGGAAAAACAATGAAAGTTAAAGGCAGCTAGTTTTTTTGTGCCGTCTAAATGAAGGTTAAATTCTACATATTAGTTTGAGTTCACTGCTTTTATAAATATTCTGAGGAGAAGAAATGATTGTTTTATTCTTCCCCATCATAGWCTTTTTAACTATCTTCTCATAATAAACCACTTACAGTCAATGGACACATTTCTCAGCACAAAGACTCCTCTTTGGGCAAACATTTCTTGAAAACTTATCGACTGAAATAATTGTAACCCTCTTGCAGGTTCCTACATCCGGACGAGCCACCTATTACGTGTCGTACAAGAGAGATTTATTTATCCAAATCAAACTGCCCAAGTATTCCCTGCCTAAGGTAGGCTGCAGCACACCCTCACACTTTTATTTCTAAAGTTAATCTTTCAGTTTATTCAGTTCTTTCATAGATTTGAAAGGTTATYGCTGATAAAAGACGTTTACCAGCTGGTTAAATCGAACCTGTCCCCCCCTGCACCTCCAGTCATGCTAACCTGTCCCGCTGCCCCCCGACAGGATTTACACATCGTCAGCACCGACGAGAAGCAGGTGTTTGCAGCAGTGCAGGAGTGGAACCAGAACGACACCTACAATCTCTACCTGTCTGACACCAGAGGCATCTACTTCACCCTGGCCATGGAAAACGTCAAGACCACCAGGGGCATAGGTGGGAACCAGATGCTTGACCTGTATGAGGTACGCACCTGATTTAATGAACTTTCTGTGGAGCACACACAAACAGGTTTTATCTCAAAGAGTAAAAACAAAAAATCCCTTATTTGTCTCTCTTGGGAGAAATTTTTCTTGGTATTTAAAAGAACACTACCACACCAACTTCAGTACAGTAATTCAATACAAACCACAAGAGCTATAATATGAATAGAAAATTTTCTTGGTATTTAAAAGAACACTACCACACCAACTTCAGTACAGTAATTCAATACAAACCACAAGAGCTATAATATGAATAGAAAATTTTCTTGGTATTTAAAAGAACACTACCACACCAACTTCAGTACAGTAATTCAATACAAACCACAAGAGCTATAATATGAATAGAACAGTTACTAATAATAATGATTACAAGTTAAAAA